GAAGGAAGGAAGGAAGGAAGGAAGGAAGGAAGGAAGGAAGGAAGGAAGAAAGGAAGGAAAGCAGACGACAGAAAATCTCTTTATTAATAAAAAAAACTTTCAGGGTAGAAATTCTTAGAATCAGAAACTGACGCCAGTTTGTTGCCTTCCCACCCGGGTCCTGTACTAGAGAGAGCAAACTGGTTAGGGATCATCAGGACACCATGAAAAGAGTGAGCTAATTAGAATATTAACCACAGCACTCAGAGTGTGGTGAGAAAACCTGACACACTAAGTGAAAACCCCAGGGATTCATCCCTGGATGAGAGTAGCCAGCCTTTCTTCAAATCTGTCATTGAGAATTAAACTCATTTGCATATGCAGATAAGTTGGCATGTTAAAAAGTTCCCATTTTCATCTCTGGTGGCCGTTATGTGTTATGCCTATAAAGATGTTACTTTTGCTTCTCCAGTTTAACTCATCCTAACCCTCCCTTTCTCCAAGATACACACAGGGTACAAGTTTCACTTCAAAGTGTGTTAGATGCTAATAGATGCCAGGAGCCAGGGAGAGCTAAAGGCATCGTAAAAATAAAATCCACGTTATTCATATAGTGTACACATTATATCGTATATATCAGCTTTTAAGTTGTTATTATAATTTACTATTCCCATCATATTGCTATATTGTATAACCTGATGATAAAACCAAGTAGCAATCTGGAATATCTTCCCGTTCAAACCATTCAACAAAGAACTCCTTTTGCCCTTTACCCCTCAAGACAGTCAATCTTCCAGAAAGAGGTAATTTTGCTGTATTTAGTCACAACAACTTACCAAATTTTAAGACTCGTGGTCTAGTCAACTAGCGTCATCTCATTAACATAAAAAAGCATCCTACGCTAACTTACTTCCATCCTTAGGTCCGCAGACATCCTAAGAGGGTTCACGGAGATCATTCAAAAGTCCACTGTACACTGCAACATAGCTGATAGATCTGGTGTCATTAGCTAAGGTACATGGGAAATGACCCTCTGACATGTATTCACTCACTGACTTAGCTACAAGCATGGCACCTGTAAGAATCATCTTATAGACTGTCAATTTTGCGTGGCCTACGTGTAGGGCAGGCACATGGTCTCCACAGTAAGCTCACAAAACGGGTAAAAATAGTTCAATTAGTTCTCCAGTTCTGAATGTGAAGAGGAGAAGAGCCAGGAAAAGGTGATGAGATCCCTGTACTCTTTGTGGCACAGGTAAGATGGTCCCAAGATCGCTAGCTCTGTGATCTGTCATCCTCGCAATCAGAGGTCTGTTTTACCTCTGCATATGCTAATGCTTGAGATTTTCTCTTTTGTCATTAATAAATATCCATGAATATCTCTGAAGAATTGTGTCAGCTGGGTGTGGTGCTGCATGCCTTTAATCCCAGTCCTCCAGAGGTAGAGGGAGGCAGATCTCAGTGAGTTGAAGATCAAACCATCTATGGGGGATTACACAGAGAAACCCTGTCTTAAAAAATAAAGAATAAATTGTGTCGGAGAGCCATGCATAGTAGTATGTGCCTGCAATCCCAACCCTTGGGAAAGGAATGCCGAATGGATCAGAGTTCAAAATCATCCTCAGCTGTGGCGTGAGAGGGTTTAGGTCAAATCTGTCTCAAACAAAACAAACGTGTTAG